AGGGCTCTACTTTGAAAATGTACACTTGAGCAGACCATCTTATATTTTCTAAAATTAATATGTTTATTTTTGGGCCACTTTCGTGATAGAAACTCCCTCTAGCGCCTAAACGGTGAGAGATAGAGCAAAACAGACGAAATTTTCGCCCGTAGGGCTCTACTTTGACGAGTTACCCCTTAGGAGCTCATAAAAAAATATTTTTTTCTGACTTTTTTGACCTACCTTATTTTCTTTGATACCCCCTTTTAGCCCTTTTGGGGTGGTTGCCAGGATTTGCCGTAGGCGTTTCGTTCTCTAGGAGTGGACCTTAAGATACCCTGAAAATTTCAAGTCTCTAGCACATCTCCTTCTAGTGGAACAGACAGACAGACAGACACACAGACAGACAGTCAGACACACACACGAGGTCGTTTGCATAAGCCCGCTGGATAGCTTTTTCAAAGCAGAAGGGCGGGCTAACAAGAAGACTATTGCTCCGAGCCCAACTTCGAACTCCAGCTCGACCACCAGTCAGCTGTCCCAGTCGCATTTGCCCACATCAACTAATTGTCTTTGGTATTGTTTGTAACAGTGATCGTCTCTCTCTCTTCGGCCATGCGTAAGTATATACTTTTCACATCGAATTAACCACAATAACCCTTAAGAGCACGTGTCTCACCTCGGTGACCATGCTCGCTAAGCTCGAGTTTTGACTGTCATTTGACGCGTGTGTATGGATTTTAGCTCCATCGGATGCCCAGTGGACGAAATTATTAGATTTTGTCGAAGACGACGCAGAGCTCAGCACGGGCCAGTATGTGGATGGGCCAAACGGCAAGATTCGCCTCGCGGCCAAGTGGGCCGCGGCAGCCAAGGACCTCAACAGGAGCGGCCCAGACGTCAAAACCGGACCACAGTCGAGATAAGTGTAGCAACGTACTGCGCAGAAACATAGGGCGATCAGGGACGATTCTCTACTGTGTGTTGCGTTCATTTCAGGCCTTCTTTGGTTTACGTTCGAGAGCGGGGCAGGCGTATGCAGATCAAACGACCTATCTACGAGGTACTAGAGGCGGGGAGGTCATGGAGGTAGAAGATCTGATCCCAAACGCCATTTAAGCGCGCTGCCTGCGGCTAACCGGCACCATCAGTGCTAGTGGCAACGTGGGTGTCGCTTCGTCAGGTAGGTTCGCACATTGATTGCACCATCTGTTTTAGTTGACAGTCAAACGCTGGCCCGTCACCCGCCGTGCATTACGACCGACTATGTCTTTTCTGCTCTCATTATAGGCCCAATCTCACCAACCCCGCCCGCCCAACTGCAATAACCACGGGGGTGCCAGTTCGAGCACGAGCAGCTGGAGCAGTGCGGCTGCAGGCCCGTCATGGGCAGGTGCTGGAGGTAGTGGCAGTGGCGGGGCGAGTGCTGCTGCGTCGTGGGCGCCTGGGTCGCGAGACCCAAACAGCAGTCCACCACGCTCACGGCCTCGCCTAGGGAGCCCTACGAGCGTCAACAGAATCGCTAAGCCGGCGAATGCACATGGTAGGTTGAAGTCTATATAACCTAATTTTACTGATTCAGTTCGACCCCTGAAAACTAAAAGGTCGTACCTCGGAGCAGCTGCGTATAAGGTCGTACCTCGGAGCGGTTGCGTTTAGTGTCGGATCTCGCCAGCGTCCCAGAGAATGGTCGTAAGTCTATTTTTTGTCGATTTTGCGAGATGCATACCATTAGAATCGGGAGAAAATTCTCTTTCTAATGATATGCATCTCGTAAAATCGACAAAAAATAGACTTACGACCATTCTCTGGGACGCTGGCGAGATCCGACACTATACGCAACCGCTCCGAGGTACGACCTTATACGCAGCCGCTCCAAGGTACGACCTTTTAGTTTTCAGGGGTCGAGTTGCCAGTTTTACTCGTTTATTATTACTGACTGTCCTTCCCTTACTTATCAGCTCTGCGTTCAGAAATCTCTGAGAAGCTGAATGTGCTCCACGTAACATTGGCAGACCTCCTTGAGTCTATCGGGCAGCTCTGTGCCTCTGTCCAGGGATCGGTCTCTGCTTCTGCATTCTACTCCTTATCTTTGGCAGAAGCCCTACAAGATCTGCAAAGATCATGCATTGAGAACACGTCAGCTATAGTGGCGTTATCATCTGCCATCTATGCTAAGGTGGCTCGGACAGCTGTGCAACAGCAGGAACCTGGCCAGCCAGCCCAAGCCTCAACTGTACAGTAGAGGTGCCGGATGGGCGGGTAAAGAACAAAATACAGACCCGAGTGCTGAAATCGCGTTTAAACGATCCACCCGGCCCAAATGGTTGATAAACTATGCACGCGACCCTTTCGCGTTGCGGTCGGGTGAGCCAGACCCGACGTACGCTATGCGGTCCATCTCGGGTTAGCGTGGACCTACTACTATTCGCCGCGACCCGTCGGACCCGTGCAGCACTACTGAGCATCGACGAAATGACCTTAAATGTATGTGAAGTAGCGCCATCGGCCGACAGTCTAAAACCGCGTCATTCTACGTGGAACCGTTCGTGGGAGCGCAAGGACTGCGCTGACTGAATCTCCAGTCAAGAGGCTTGTCGGACCAACCCTCCCTCATGTTTCAGGTTAGCTCAGCGGTCAAAGGCGTCGACTTCACACCAGAAGAATCCGAGGATCCAAGGAACGAGTCCCAGCCCCAGCCGATACAAGCTGCGCAGTGTGTCTCCCCAGCATTGTAACACAGATGTGCACCCCATAATTTTTAGGGGGACCCCCGCTCTAACCGGGCGCCAATCGGACAGTCCGACAAGAGGCACTGGGCGTCAATCGGACAGTCCGACGGGAGGTCTCAAATTTCAAACGTTTTGGAACATAAATGGAGCCATCCGAAACTGTTCGAAACACATTATTAGTCGGAGTAAAAACGGAGCAAGTCCGCTTCGGATGTCTTTCGGAGCTGTTCGTTTTCACAAGGTGAGCAGGCAGCAGCCGACGTTATCGCTCTCCTTCTCCAGCGGCAGCAGTTAGCCCCTGGCGTCTCCGCTCTACTTCTCCAGCAGCGGCAGCAGGTACCAGCTGGCGGTGTCGCTCTCCTTCGCCAGCGGCAGCAGCTGCAACTCGAAGTGATCGCTTGCCTCCAGCGGTGGCATCAACTAGCCGGCGTCATCGCTCCCCTTCTCCAGCGGCAGCAGCTACAAGCCGTCGTAATCGCTCTCCAGCGGCGGTGGCAGGGTCACCAAGCACTTCGCAGCGCCCATCCTGATCCAGGAACACGCCCTGCCGCTATTCTCCATCCAGATCCGGCTCGCGGTCCTCTTCTCGGTCCGCTTCCCCTCCACGCAGAAAGAGGGGTAGGTCCAAGGGATCAAAAAATAAAAAGAAGCAGCCTGTGTGCCAGATTTGCTTGGGGAATAGGGGTCCCTACGTTTCAACAGCTTGTGGGCACCTTTTCCATGAAGCGTGTTTGAGACGCTTCATGGAGGCAAGAAATGAAGTTTATGTTTTTCAGAAGACTCGCCCTATCTGCTCTAAAAAATACACCTCATGCCACGCAGTTTACCTGTAAATTTTTCTTCGTTGCATTTTGACTCTAACATGGGCTCTTAGCTTGACCTTTAATCCTTGTGTATTTTTCTTTAAGACTGCTCGTGAAAATCTTTGGTTGGCATTTGCTTAGCGTCGCATTGTACTGTGCCCAATTTTTTATGGCAGTTTTTTTTTGTTTTAGTCTTCTTTTTATATTTACATATACATCTGTTGAGTTTGGGTAGTCAGGCTTTATCAGATAAAGCCCTAGCCTACCCAAACAATAGTGTGTGAATTTTAATTTGCTAGTTGGGTTTCTTCGTTGAAGCTCTATGCAATTAAGTCTGACGACCTGTTTGTATAGTGTTTTCTCAGTTTTGATTAATGTTCTGACTAGTTCAATCGAGGTGTTACCTCTGAGTTGTTTTTAATAAACCTTTATATTTTGCTAAAGACCATTTTGAAGGCTACTTGAAACTTCACTTATCACTGCCTATACCTAAAGTAATGGTGCTGTATTTTCTTTCCTGATTTTCAAGGAGCGTATTTCAACTTTTCCTACTTCGTTACTCGCTTGGAAATGGTACCCTTATTAGCCTGTGGGGGCAACGCGCCTAAGACAGCAAGTCAAGACTATTGGTGTCACTCCAATGTGACATGCTTTTAATGTGGCAGAAGAACTTGTACTGAAATGTTCCCTTAGGATCCTCCCTGACTATGATATACAACCTTTGTCAAACACAAACTAGAGTTTATCATTCTGGCATGGTAGGCTTGCACTGAGGAAGAGTTCAAAAAGGACGATTTAAATATTTCAGTTTCTTTATTGATGCAACAAGAGAAAAAACCACAACACAGCAAAAAAGCAAGATAATTTTGCACAAGGTCCCCTCTTGGTAACTTGTTTCTAGAATTTATGTTACAGAGAACCACATGCTTTCGGATACTGATTGGAGAAAAACTAAAAAGTGAGATCATTTATTCACAGCCCATAGTCAATTTGAAACAACATTTACAACATGGCAGCAGAGGCATAATTAAAATTAAAATAGTTAAAATAATCTAAGAGGACCACATGCTTTCGGATACTGATTGGAGAAAAACTAACATATTGAGATGATGCCCACTCAAACGATTTCTCAGCTGAGTAGCGATGAGGCCAGCATGGGAGAACAAGCGTTCACTTGGAACTGAGGTGGCGACGCGCCTGGCATACACCTACCTAGGCCTGCGGCGCAGACACACGAGTCGGGCAAAAGGCAGAGTCGTAGATGGGCCTTCGGCTCCAAAGGATGCAAATTTTACCCCCGGGATTTTATGTTGATTAGTTGCCCCACCAGAGACCATTAAATATGTGAGAAACAACATTAAAATGGTTTGGGGCGAGGGGGCAAGAACTCCGGGAATCATGTGTACACCTGCCTGGGAATCATCACGATAAAAATTGATCGAAATCAACAGAAATCGTTTAAACTGAGAAGGAAACTAGCAGAACTGGTACAAATTAGTCGAAATAAGCGTTTTCTACCACTAGAAAACCAGAGAAATAAATATTAGCTGGCGGGAATCACCGGGAATCACTGGGAATCAAGTATTTCAGGAATCATGTGTACACTTCAAAAGGGAGTTATTGCCCCCTCGGTTTGGGGTCATTTTCGTGTGGAAATCGCCCTCTCGCGACTAAACGGTTAGAGATAAAGCCAAACGGATAAACTTTTGGCCCAAAGGGTTCTACTTTGACGAGTTACGTCTAAGAAAGATGTAAAAAGAAAAAAATGAAAAGTAATATTTTGGGTTTTTCGTTTTTTGATTTTTTGGACAGGTCAATTTTTAAGCTAGAGGGCTCCAAATCAATACAGTTCTTGCTTTTTAGGCTACACTAAAAATTTCAGGTACCTAGCTCAAACCGTTCTCGAGTTATCGTCTTTACAGACAAACACACAGACAAGAAACTTTTTGATCATCACTGGAGTAATAGGCCTCGCTATCGCTCAGCCAATGACATGTCTTCCAAATATTTTAGAAGTTACGGAAAGGTTTTATCACTATCCTAGCTTCTGAAATCTTGCGCGTTAAGTGATAATTGAGAAAAATGACTCAAGTATGAAATGTGTCGTTCCTATACAAACCCAAAGTTTCCGGAACTTATTTTTTGTTTGATTTGTTTAAAAAGGAACCTACCCACATAATTAATACATAGTTTTGATCACCAGACTCGTTTTAACTCATAAAAATAACCAGAAACAACTAGTTTAAAACTAGGGGCTTAACTGTGATGTAAGGCCTTAAAAACCGTACTGACCATGAAATATTCAGGCACGAACCAGTCTCGATGGATTCCTATTAGTCTTTCTATTTTTTCTCTCCGAAAGATTTCATCATAATTCACTTCTACTGTCAGGTACTTGGGTTCTTCCTTAACAATGGAGAAAACTACAAAATCACACTTATCAACTTTCATAATATCCATTGACATTTGGATCTGGTAATACCAAGCATTAGTAGCTTTCAATTCAAGAAGCCCTGTAACTTGGCTGCGTTTCAGGCAGAATCTTCCCA